AAATGGATTTATAAGACGGGATTAATTAATATAAGATGACGAATAATCGAAATTGAGTATATTTTGATTACTCGTTTAAGATAAGTAGTGAGCTGAACCCAAGTATATTCGGTCATGAGTTGAACATAATTAAGAAATAGCCGAGCCTTAGTACTAAATACTTAGAATTTTTCTAAGTGTTTAAGTCATCAAAGATAAGATCATAATATCGAGCCTTAGCATAAGTTGATACAAGTTAAGTCTCGAAGTGCGGTTAAGTATCCATGATCATTTAAGTGATAAATGTTCAAAGAAGTGAGAAAATTTATTTAGACATTATAGTCTATTTAAATTATTTTAAGAGAAAGCGAAATTTTTAGAATTTTCGGTTTTACGGTAATCGTTCGGTTTGAGTCTGAATGTGGTTCCGTAAATGTAGAATATTTCAAGATAATTGTTGTAGTTATTTTTACCGGAGTTAAACCAAATGATTCAATCCCCGGGTCGTGTTTCAAGGAAGGTTAGCCGGATTATTTCGTACGTATATTCAATTGCAAGAAGAAGAAATTAATTTCCTAAACACTCTAATACGATGATTTTGATTTTGAATTATCGACTACTAATTCTCGAATAACGCAAATGAACGATTATAAATGACTTAAAACGAGTTACTTATCAGTATGAGAATGGTAGGGAATCAGGAATGATTGCTCTCGAATCCAATGTAAATACCAAGCTAAGACTGTTCAGTTAAATAATTCGATCAACCTACGCGTCTAGAGTTTAATCCTCAATAACTGTTCGTAACAAGAGGGAAAACATAGACGGTAAATCAAACCAATCAAACAACATATAGGCAATCCAATCACGAACAAGCCTACTCTAATCGAGCCTAGATCGATCGACTTCTCCCCTTTCGGTTCTACAAGTCAATTAAATAGGTCAGGATGGTGATCAAGCATCTGACCCGAGGTTTAATTCAACTCGAATAGATCGAACAAAAATCGTAAGCCAGGTAAACACACAAACACGAGTAATCATCCCCTATCCCTAGCTCAAGGATTTAGCCACACAAAATATTGTATACAGTAAATATCCCAAACTCATAGTCAAATGAGAAGAAAACTTACGATAGATAAATAAAGAGTGTTAATCCCATGCACAATCTGAATCCACGATCAAAATCCTTGGGTGTCACTCCCAAAAATCTCAAAGATAAGCCAAGATAAAAGGAACAAGTTTTCGTCTGATAAAACCAGAGAAAAAAGAAAAGTGCCGAATCCCTTCTGAAAACCCTACCCCTCCTATTTTGTAGCGATCAGTTTAATATTTCAAAAGACGTTCAACATATCAGGCGCCGCGGTGCGACACAGTACTTCATCGCGGTGCGAAACGTGGCGCGGCGCGGAAGGATCAGGTGCAATGTCGCAGTCCAGGTCGCGGCACCTTCACGGCGCGGGGCAGGGGCACCTTCGCGGCGCGGGGCAGGGACACGGCGCGGCGCGCTTTGAAGAGCTGATATTCGGGTTAATTTGTTTTGAGGGCCGAGACGCACGCTGCTCGGATATTTGACTAGCTCCAAACGTGATGAAAAACCTGGACCTACACACCACCAAAAACGAAAGGAAAACACACGAAAACAGACCAAAGAATAGAAAATATCGAAAGCGAGAAATGAACGGCAAACACACGAAACGAACAACTAATGGACCAAAAGAACTAAAAGATTCCTAAAAATGGGGGTAAAAATTAACAAGTAAACAAAGAAAAATATAACAAAAATAGGACAAACAACTCCCCCACACTAAGACCTTTGTTCGTCCCGAACAAAAAAGAAAAGGAAAGAAAAATACGCAAACGAGCAAGTACAATGGCTTCAAAACAAGAAAAGTCTCAAATTGATCAACTAAGTTGGACAGAATTCCGATGACCTCGAGAACACACCTTGACAATGAACTCAATCACAAGATAACACAAACTCTCTAGTACGGAGATATGATATAAATGCCTCACTCATTTTCTTGCAAAAATAAAAGACAGGAGCACTCAAATTGGTCGTCAGTTAGATCGATCATACGCTTGCCTATTGTCTAACCCCTACTCTAAATCAATCAAATAAATGAGACAGTGAATCAAAAGGACTTTTATGGACGTAATGTAGGCTGAACGGGTCGGGTAAGATAAATATAGGTCAAATGGCTCAAATATAGAATATATTACAACTCAGCACTTCAACCATAATTAAGAACTCCTCCGGCTTCAACCGGTTCGCCAACCTCCACCCAAGCCAACATGCTTCCACATTATCATAGTTTTCTAGGTTTAGCCATCGGGTTTTCTGCCCGAGTCTCCTAGACCGGTTTCCCGTACTCATTGCTCCTGACCGGTAATTGAACGGTTGGAGCACTTAGAGTATAATCCGTTAGGTTTTTTTTTTATATATATATCCACACAATTTGACAATCATCACCATCCCCTTTCCGAACATTATCAACACGGGGTCAACAATAAAAATGAGAAGTAAGGCTCAAAGGGGTGACTAGCGGAAATTATTCTCGAAAGAAGAAAAATGATACACAAATAGCAAAGAATGCCTTTATCATGTTCACCTATCACAAATCTAATCAACTTATTTCACAACAGACTCAAGGCAAGTTCTGATTTATTCAACATTCAGACCAATATCGCACAAGAAATGAATATGGCTCAAATCTCACCGGGTGTATATGTATGAGTGTTACTCAAAGCAATCGGACCACAATTCAAAATATGCCACTCAAGATCATCATCACAACTTCCCAACGTCATTAAACAACCATAAACCAATCTTGAATTTCACCAATGTCCAAACTCGAAAAACAAATAAAGCTCCAAACTAAAGTGGTCCACCAAACAAAAGACAAATATAGACTCAAAAGACAAATAAACCTAGAGCTAGACTGGTCAACCACGTAGCCACATATACATGCAAAAACTCCCCCACACTTAAAATCAGACAATGTCCACATTGTCGATCCTCAGTGAAGGAGAGTTGAACCACACAACCAACCGACTCAAAAGAAATAAGCTATACCAAACAAAAGAGAAAGAGAAGGAAAACGTACAAAGCACAGTGAGAAATCACTGTGCGTCCGACGGTGGCAGTCGAGGTAAGGAAGAATGATCGGAAACCGAGCTCCATCGGGTGTCCCACTGTTGAAACTGATCATTCCACTGACTCCATTGGGCATATTGCTCCTGTTCCCAATGGTCCCAGCGTTTGTCATTTTTCGTGATGTAGGCCAACAAGCGAGCATTGTGCGAACTAACCTCGGCATGGATGGTTCGCAGGTACTCCTCCTGTCGAGTCTGATGCTCATCTTCCCGTTTCTGATACTCGACGAACCACTTAGGTGCCTGCTCGGATAGGGCGTCGGGAATGCCATGATGGGACTGAAGTTGGGCTGACTCTTCCTCGTCTCCTGGAGTATGCTCGATCGGGTCGGCAATCTCGTCGGCCGCCCGTTGAGAGGGGCCTCCTGTGGCTTGTGTCGACAAAGCTGCTTCAGCTGCTGCTCGCTTCATCTCCTTCACGTAAGCTTTGTAGCATTTGCGTTCGGTGTAGGGCTGGAACTTGAAATGCCTATCCAGAAAACCCCCAGACTTAAGTTCGATATAGCCGATGCCCATCGGACCGATGCCCTCCTCAACAGCTACCGGAATTTTGAAGTACTTGACAATATCGGTCACCACATGACCTAAGGTAGGGTAGCTCACTGTTTTCTGGCGTATGTCGACAAGAGCTTGCTTGAGGAAATTGAGAAGGCATATCGGTTTCTTTTCGCACATAGCCCACAGAACGAACACCTCCTGTTCACTTACCTTGTTAGCCTCTTTTTTTCCGAAAATGTGGTAGGAGAGGAACTTATGCACGACCGCAATGGGAAGCTCCTTGATTAACCCCGCCGATGGCCCGATTTTATGGAAAGTCTTACATGGTGAAAAAGAGGCCCAATGTCTGTCAGTCTGGAAATCTCCCGGTTTCTTGCGAGCACCCGTTGTTTTCAAACCGTAAATATCACAGAGAACTTTATCCGTAATTTTGACCTCTTTCCCGTCCAAGCGACAAGTGAGGCAGTTGCCGTTATTGTGCATCTCAATGGTGCTAAAACATTCCAAGGTAAGTGTCCGGAAGGCAGTGAAATTATCACGGGTCGCGTACTTCTCCAAGTTAAGTACTTTCAAATAACTCCGAACTTGTTCGTCGATATGAAGAGCTTTCATCGTAGCCCACTCGATAGCTCGGGGATTAGGCATAGTGCGGGCGCCAAGTCACTTGTATGTGGCCACCTCTGAGTCGTTAAAAACCGGAAACGGAATGCCATGGGTTCGAGCTAACGGAGTGGTCTCTTCCGCCGAATCGGAATCCGAGTGGTTCGATGACTCGGGTGGAGCGACGATGATGGCCTTCCCTTTATCTTTGCTCGTGGAAGGACCCGCATTCCTCGTTTTCACCATATTGGAATTGTAGGTCTCACGAACAATTCACCGAACACCTTAAGTGCAAGAATAGGACTTGGGAAGGTATTGAGCACTTCAATGAAAAGAAACCCGAAATAACTCCAACTTCAATCCAATTCTTCACAATCCAACCCAAACAACTCGAATTCGTCACAAAATCACAAGAATATCGATTACCGGGCATCAAAATGCGAATATGCTGCAGGTGAACGGACGTGCTCGCTGGTCGGAGAGGGAGGCTTCCGATGGTGCTGGTGGCTGGGATCACGGCCGGAGAAATTGTCAGAGGTGGTCGGGGGCGCTGCCGTCGGTGACTGTCGAGAATGATGGAGATGTTGAATTAGGGGCAAGGGTTCTTCAATCCGAACGAGAGGGGATGAAAGCACTCAGAGGTTTGCCGGTGATGGAGGGTTGCCGGATGTTAAGTGGTCGCCGGGCTTAGGTATGATGGTCGGAGGTCGATGTCGCAGAAGAGAGCTAGGTTTCGTCGTGAGAGAGCGAGAATGAATGTGTAGCGGTATTTATATGATGAGGGTGCCGCGGCGTGTTGCTATACCGCGCCGCGAAGGGTTCTTTTGCCGCGGCGTGAAGCGTGCCGCGGCGCGACGTCCTGAGTTCCCAAACCCGCAGTTCGGATCGCGGTGGTCTCGCGGCGTGACGAGGGATGAGGTGCCGCAGCGCGACGCGTTGCAAAGCGAAACCCGCAGTCCTGATCGTGGTGAACTCGCGGCGCGACGAGGAATGAAGTCCCGCAGCGCGATGACTGCAGCGGCGCGACGCGTAATGAAGGCAAAAGCCACAGTCCGGATCGTGGCACACTCGCGGCGCGATACCTGGAAACAAATTCAGTCTTTTTCTTTTAATATATATAAATACATATATATATAGATATACACAAAAAGTACAAATAATTGCTCAGTTTTAAGCCGGGAGCTCGGCACAATTTTGGATCAAGGATACACGGCATCGCCGAGACCGATGGTCTCGACATGGTATTTCCCGAATTTGCCCTCAAAGTAAGGCTTTACCCTATGCCAGTTGACCACAAAAAATTCACCATTCGCCGGATTTCGAAGTCGGACTGCTCCAAAAGATAACATTTCGTCAATGATATACGGTCCGCTCCACCGGGACTTAAGCTTTCCCGGGAATAGACGAAGTCGGGAGTTGAATAAGAGAACTTTCATATCGGGCACCAGGTTCATTCGGATAATGGTCGAGTCGTGAAGCTTTTTGACCTTGTCTTTGTAAATTTTGGAGTTCTCGTAAGCCTCGTTCCTCAACTCCTCAAGTTCTGACAGTTGCCACATCCGCTCACGTCCGGCTGCATCAACATCAAAATTCATCCGCTTTATCGCCCAAAAAGCTTTGTGCTCGATTTCGACCGGAAGGTGGCACGTCTTCCCGTAGACGAGCCGGAACGGGCTCATCCCCAAGACTCCCTTGTGAGCTGTGCGTTGGGACCATAGTGCATCATCAAGACGACTGGACCAATCTTTCCTAGACGAGTTCACTGTCTTCTCAAGAATGGTCTTGATCTGCTTATTGCTCGTCTCCACCTGGCCCGAAGTTTGTGGATGGTAGGGAGTAGCTACTTTGTGAGAAATGCAATATTTCTTCATCAGTTTTTCAAAGAGCTTGTTGCAGAAGTGCTTCCCTCCATCACTCACAATTGCTCTTGGGAACCCAAACCTGCTCAATATATGACCTTGCACAAACATGATCACAACATTAGCATCACATGTCTTTGTGGGGATAGCCTCAACCCACTTAGACACGTAATCTACAACAAGTAAAATATACTCATAGCCACTAGACTTAGGAAATGGTCCCATAAAATCAATGCCCCAGACGTCGAAAATTTCTACTTGAAGGTTATTAGTCAAGGGCATCTCATTTCTGCGACCTATATTCCCAGTTCTTTGGCATCTATCACACGAACGGCAGAATGTATGAGCATCCTTAAAAAGGGTAGGCCAAAACAAACCTGACTGTAAAACCTTGAAGGCGGTTTTCTGGCCGCCAAAGTGGCCTCCACAATGGAACTTGTGGCAGAACGCGAGGACATCAAATTGCTCCTCTTCCGGTACACATCTCCGAAGCACCTCGTCCTTCCCCTGTTAGAGTAGGGTACCCGGCGTTCCAATCTAATTGGACATATTCTACTTGTAAATACAGTCTATTGGAATTATATTATGAATAAGGCATTTCTTTATCTTAAGAGAAAGCATTTATCTTATAATTGCACTTAAGATAAAATCCCTAGATCACTTATGGTTATAAGGTATGGTTGCGCATAGAGATGGTGATCATGGAACATACCTTGAAAGCCGTGATCTTAAATACAGTTCCAAGTCGATGGATGTTTCGAGATGGGATATCGAATAATCCATAAAAGACTTGCACATAGTTTGTGTGCTTGTTGGACAAGAATGTTGCATTCCATCAACATTAGCGTAAGACGTAAGTACATTTATGTGGGTGCTTGTTAGAGAACAAGTTCACTGAACATGACCGTATGAAAATTCTTAATGAAGAATTTATTCAGTCGAATAAGAATTTTCATGTTACAATAGTACATGACTAATCCTAAGACTTGAGGCACAATGGTAACTTTGTGCATATTACATTCTACTTTGATTTATCCTTTTGGTAGCTAGCACTATCGTTTAAAGGGATAAGTTGGGTATTATGTTAATATGTATGGAAGTTTGTTAGTGGCCAATAAAGGATTCGACACTTATGAAGATAAGTGAATTTCCTATGTGTTTCATAGTTATTAATCCAAAGTCCTTGGCCAAGGCAGAGATGAATAGTGATTCATAACCGGGTTAATAAACATGAAATAGAATCATAGTTATTAAGTCAATTTGGGTTTCGACAAAATCATACCCAAGACTTAATCGGGAAATTAGATGTCGAAAGGATTTTACATGTATGGAGTTGTAATCGGAATAGGTTTACTCGCTATTCACTTAATACTAGATTCATGCTACTTGCTAGGTGTTACCATGATATGTGGGTTCATAAATTAAAGGGTTAATTCATGAATAAGAGTTAATAAGATTTAACTCAAATTACAAAGTGTTGTAAACCCACTACTAGTATTAAGGTGAACCTAAAAGGTCACACTAATTATGAACAAAGGTAAAGATTGTATTTCTAATGGTTAGAATTAATTGATAAATATCTAATTTGATTAGATATCAATTAAAGGAATATATTAATCAATAAGATTGATTAATTACATTTTGGATATTACTTTAGTAATTAAGGTAATTACTAAATTAATAAAGTTGAATTTTAAAATAGGATTTTAAATTTCAAAAATCCAAAATAATAATAATATGATTATTATAATATTGGGAAAATGATATAATAATAAAGTCTTGAGAAAGATTCTCAAGATTTATTATCCAATTATTATTTATATCTTTAAATATGATTTAAGGATTAAAATAATAAATATGATTATAATAAAATGGTTGTTGATGGTTGTTTGAACTACTTAACATATCTTATTATTTTCAAAGTCAAAAGTTAGTAAATACTATTTAAATAAAATTTGATTTTATTTAATATTACTAAATGTTGATTATTTTATGCTAAAATGTTTAGTATAAATATATGCAAAATGGTTTTGCATTTAAGTGAAGTTTTTGATCCTAAATTTCTAAGTGTTAGAAAGAGAAGAAAGTGTTCTTCATAAAACTTCAAGAAAGAGTTCTTAAAATTCCCAAATAAAATTCATAAATATTCCTATACAAGAAAACCGAGTCTTTTCTACTAGCGAAGGAAAGTCGTCGGAACCGGGCTTCATAGGGTGGATACGTTTAGAGGGAAGACACTTGGATTCCTCTAGCGAGTAACCTCAAGTCGTTGAAGTTACAACCGGGAACCGATTCCCTCATCCATCATCAATAGTGAAGGAGTTCAAGACATTCGGTAAATATTTTTACTAGTATTTACTTTATAGTAACAAATCAAAATTTGTATATGATGCATGTTTTAAAGATGACGATCAGTTAATTCGCAATTAGTATGTACGGGTGTTGTATTTATACGATAAATACTTACTTTAAAAATTTTAAATTCCGCTGCGTACAGCCCGTACGGTACTATCGAACCCAACAGTGGTATCAGAGCCACGGTTATCGTCTTTAAAACAGATTTTGATTTGTTAAGACTTATGAGATAAGCAATATAATTAATTTTTTATATGATAAAAATATTAATTATAAAATTAAAAATCGTTTTTAAGCCACACGAGTCGTGTGACCTTGTCACACGAGTCGTGTGGCATGAAGAAAAATTTTGATTTTAGCTTCGTGATTTTCACACGAGTCGTGTGACCTTGTCACACGAGTCGTGTGAGCTCACACGAGTCGTGTGACGAGCCACACGAGTCGTGTGAGTCTGGGAAAAATTTTGATTTTCAATTCGTATTTTTCACACGAGTCGTGTGATAAGATCACACGGGTCGTGTGACCCTCACACGAGTCGTGTGACTCATAAATTGATATTTTATGTTCATTTCATTAGATGAATGTTTTAGGGATGATCATGAGCCTCATATTCATTATGTTTGAATGGATGTTTTCATTTTCAATATGATTGAATGAATGAATGGATGTTTAATTATGTTTTCAATATGATTGAAGAAATGTAATTTATCGAGACCTGCGAGTCTCTTGAGATGAAATTTGTAAAATTTTAAATTTTGTATCGTTAGAGATTAGATCAAGGTGGAGACCGTTCGATGACAAAGGCCCACGCATGTGTGGGTAATTTTACAAGTTGTAATCTCGAAGGCCTGTGCTTGTACGGGTAGATAGAATAAATGTAATAGAAGTAGTTCTATTATTTGTTTTATCACGTACATAGGCATAGATCCATTTTGGCTCGAATGGATCGAATAGGCAAGGACATGATCATCCCACCATGCATTAGATGTATGTTAGGTTTATTTACGCTTTCGTTTCATTAGGTGACTGAAATCGGTAAATAAACGTAAAGATGGTAATCGATGAGATCAAGGAACCCAAACGGATTAATTTGATTAATTCCATATCAAATCAATAATGGATAAAAATAAGTTGGAACTTATTAATCCCGGTCTTCCATCAAAAGTAGATGACATGAGATGCTACGATGTTTTATCATTGGCCACGAGTCGTGGGATGATTCTATGTCGAAAGCTGTGAACTCTATTAAATATATTGATATTCGTGAGATGGATTCCTCTTTGTGTTGACCATGAGTCGTGGGACACTCTGGTGGGCCATTATCATGAAAGTTTTGATGGGTTTGATTTGACACCGAGTAATATATACGGTCATAAAATTGAGGTATATAAGGAAAGGTGAGGCAAAACATCTTGAAGGTTGTATAGAGATACAATTGTCAAAAGTTGACTACCGATATAAATGTTCCATGCGTACTCATAAAATTGGGATATGGAATATTTTTATTGGACTTCAAGCCCACTATGAAAATTAGATTTTCATAATTAAAAAGGGGTTTTAATTAAAATAGTGGGAGACATTTAATATTAAAGACCTAATATTAAATGAATATAAATTCCATAGTTTAATTATTTTCTGCTTCGTTTGTTGTTTTTGTAGATCACTCTACTAAAATGGCTAAAAATCCAATTGCAAGTATCCTTGAACAAAACAAATTAACTGAACCCAATAAATGTTATCATTGTGGTAAAACTGGGCATTGGAAGAGGAACTGCAAGAAATATCTTGCAAGCCTGAAAAGTTCAGGTATTTATTTTGTTGAAGTTAACTTATCAGTTAACGAATCTTCTTGGGTATTGGATACCGGC